CACTGGCCCTTCTCTGCAATAGATCTGCCAATTCACAGCTGGCAGTAACTTCAGGGGGGACTTGGATTTGAAGCCGACGGACTTGTGCGTGCAGTGGCAAACTTGGCTCCCGGTTTGAAGGCACTTCTTATTGTAAGGTTTCACTTTAGGGTTTTTTTCTTCATTTTATTTTTTACTATATAAATGCCACTTGTCTGTCTGAAAAAGCTTTGGTATTCATTTACCCATTGCAACAATGTGCCGAGGGACATGGTGACTTCTCTTTCACTTGCAGTCTTTGAGTCAAGACCAGAGATGTTTCCAAAAGACGTACTATATAGCTCAGCCTCAAACACAAATTATGGGCTTGATTCAGAGATTACTGGGTGAGGTTGTTTGGCCTATGTGATGCAGGCGGTCAGGCTAAATGATCACAATGGTCCCTTCTGGCCTTTAAATGTATGAACTCTTTGTTCCTTCAGATTAAACGTTTTAAGTGATAGCCAGTGCTAAATCACCAGCCCTCCTTTGCTGAAGTTTGTTGCACCCCCTCCCACACACACTCCCAGTGTAATTTTATTTAAATCTTTTTATCTTAACTGAATTTCGGGAAGATTAAGGTCGGCGTTTTTGTTTTTTAGAGTTCTCCTAAGCACGGCAAAGAGGTGGTTCCGAGGGACAGCTCTCTGGCTTTGGTTTAAATCAACAGCCCCAGTGCAGTTTCACGGCTAAAAAGGGAAGAGCAAACTTCAAAGCAAAACTCCCTCTGAGGGCCCGATCCTGTAGTTTTTTCCCCATGCAACTCACTCATTGGCATCAATGGTCCTGATTCTCCCCTCACTTATACCAGTTGACCACAGCAGAGCTACTCCTGATTTACATCAGTGGGAGGAGAGATTCAGGCCCACTGAGAGGAAGAACAAAGTTCTTTTTTCCCCCCCTTCTCTCTTGAAAGAAATGTTCATCTGAAAATCCTGGAAGGTGATTAAACTAACCTGTCTGCAGCAGGTGGAAAAGGCCCAATCCTGCAGTCTTTACGTGTGCTCAGTGGGGGGTGAAATCCTGCCCCCACTGAAACCAATTGGAGTTTTGCCACTGATTTTGATGGGAGCTGGATTTTACCCTGAGAGTTGTACAGGAGTTAGGACTGCAGAATCAGGCCCAAGGCAACAAAATTTTAAATAACTAAAACATGGGATACCAGGGAGCTTGAGTCAGAGATAAATTAGTCAGAAATAACAGGAGTGTGTAAAAACAGATCTTTGTAAGAGAAAACCGCAGAGAACTTGATAAGTCGCAATGCCAACAAAACACATCTTTGTGTCACAACAACTCCATTTACTGTGTGGCATTCAGTCTCTCAAGTGAATAGGTTGTAAAGAGCCTATTTAAACATCGCACCCATTAAGAAGAAAATATGGTTGGTTGGGCCTGAATCTGCAGCTGTTTTGTAAGCCCTGATTAGAGCGCAAGTTTCACAATGCAAAATGAATACAGGATTGGGCCTCTGTACTAGTCCTTTCATTAGGGTGAAATTCACCCCCTCAGCAGAGGCACAATACAAAGCCTAAAGAACAGGAGGACTTGTGGCACCTTAGAGACTAACCAATTTATTTGAGCATGAGCTTTCGTGAGCTACAGCTCACGAAAGCTCATGCTCAAATAAATTGGTTAGTCTCTAAGGTGCCACAAGTCTTCCTGTTCTTTTTGCGGATACAGACTAACACGGCTGCTACTCTGAAACCAATACAAAGCCTAGTCACCACTTAATTCCCACACAAGGGTGAACGTTCTAATTAGGAAACGTGAGTGATGCGTCTTGCTGCTTTCAGCAGACTCAGTGCACCTTGTTCAATGCATTTGTGAGAGTTTCCTGTCTTAAGCCTGTGCAATGCAACATGTGCAGTTGCACAGAGCGCCCTCTAGTGCACCCCTCACTTGTCACAGTTATGAACAAGTAGCTTGCCTGCAAATTAGTGCCCCCTAGGCAATTCTCACACTTCCTTGGAAAAATTGTAAGGCTTGATCACAAATCTTGTCAATAAAGCCCTGGTGCAGGATGGCCCCTTGCAACTCATGCTCTTGCAGATCGTTCATACACGCAGGGCTCAAGGCGGCTCCGGTTGACACCGATGGCAAAGCTCGCTCCCATCTGCTGCAATGGGAGCAAGACAATGCACACAGCTTCTCTGATGATGAAATCTTATTTTGCAAAAAAACCAAAACAACCCAACAACTTTCCCCCAGTCTAAAGAATCTATAGGGAAAAACTAGTTTATAAAACAAAAATTCCCCTGTGGGTGTATTAGAGAGACAAGGTGGGTGAGGTAATATCTTTTATGGGACCAACTTCTGTTGTGGAGAGAGACAAACTAAAGAGCTCTGTGCAAGCCTGAAAGCTTGTCTCTCTCACTAACAGAAGCTGGTCCCATGAAAGATATTACCTCCCCCACCTTCTCTCCCTAATATCCTGGGACGGATACAGCTACAACACTGCATACAACCTACGGGTTTATAACGGTTTCTGAAAAGGTTGCACAGTAATTAAAGAGCTGATCCTGTAAACACCCACGCTGGTGTAAATAGTTTTACACACATGAGTAGTCCTCTTGAGGTCAATGGGACTACTCCCAAGCACAAAGTTTCTCTTGCAAGTAACTGTTCTGCAAGGTCCAGGCCTTATACATATAGGACCAGATCCTCAGCTGGTGTAAAATGTCAGAACGCCAAGTCAGTGGACCTGTGCTGATATATGCCAGCTGAGTATCTGGCCCACAGTATCCATAAATATAATTAGAATAATTTAAAATAAATAGCTACCTTTCATGTTCCATTGCATTTTCTTCTTTCTTTTTTTTTTTTAATGAATAGATGTATAAACATAGCATAGAAGCCCTAAACAGCTTACCACAAAGCTTTGATTTTCCCCCGCCCTTACATCACATTTTAAATCAAAATGCACAATCAAAATCAACTCCGAGTAATTTAGGGCTCAGCCCTGCAGTCCCTACTCAGGAGGAAATCCCACTGGCTTCACTGGGAGTGGCCCTTTATGTCCAAAATGATTCTCATTGACACCAGTGTAAATCAGAGGTGACTCCATGGAGTTACACCAGCGTAACTGAGCACAAATTGCCCCATCCTGATGCAGACAAACAAGGTGGGGGGGGGGTGAAGATGGAGAGGGGAAATAACTTGAATTAAAAAAATAGTTCTTTCTAAAATCCCAGCTGGCTGCCTTCCACTTATGAAAAGCGCACTCAGACAGTTAGTGCAGATTTCCACCGGGTTTCAAACAGGTGTGACTGGCGCACAGCAGGGCATCTGGATGCAGTTCATACTTCAGATGTCACTTTAATCTTAACTTTCATCTTCCGCACTAAAATTCAGATAGGGGGACCCATTTGACAGAGAAAGGCCATTCCTTAGATTGATTTTTTTCCTCCCCCAAAAACTAAAAGTTTAACAACATAAATGCTGAAAGCCCTTTTTTTCCTGGCAGAGCTATTTCAGACCCCTCTAGCCTTCCTGGTGTGTTGATCTGGTTATAGCGCTGCTATGGAATTTCCCTGAAACCAACCTAATTCTTGCCTTTCAGGGGGCTAATTTCAGCACTCGCTCCACACTCTTTTCTCAGGCAACACTCCCAATGCAGTTGATGGATGTATTGCTTTGGGCTTTGCTTTAGCAGATCACTTAAGTAGGTCCTTAACTTTAAGCACATAAGGATTACCATTGACAGTCAAAGCTTAAAGTTAAGGACATGCTTAAGTGGTTAATCAGGCCCTTAATAAGCAGTGAGCCAGTCATACTGCATAGACAAGTGACGTTTGATACTATTAAAACCTAATTTTCAATATTAATAGGTATTATTGCACCCTGAATTTTAGTTGCACTACAATAGTGCCTAAGGCCCCCCTGGAACTGGGGCCCCATCATGTTAACCTGTGTGCATACATGTAGCAAGAGTAAGTCTCTTCACTGTAGAGCTTACAGTCTAAATAGACAAGACAAAAGGATGGGAGAAAGAAAGGATTATTAGCCCCATTTTACAGGTGGGGAACTGAGACACAGAAACTAACTGACTTGCCTGAGGAGTCTGTGGCAGAGCCAAGAATTGAACCCCGATCTGCTGAGTCCCCATCCAGTGCCTTAACCACAAACACCCAGCCTCAAACAGCTTATGTTCTGAATACAGATGATTTACCTGGCAACAATTTCATTGCATTTCATTTCACATTTTATTTTACAAAAGATCATTCGGGTCTAACCCACATCATTTAACCTCTGCATGGCCTTAAATTCTATAAAAACAAGAGATCATTCACCAGCCGCATAGAGGATGAAACCAGATGACTGTTCTAGGGGTCTGTTTGTTTGTTTGGTGATAATCCACTAATTGATTGTTTATTTAAGTGGAGAAATATGTCAATGATCTTTTGCCGTTTGCACACTATGCCAGGCTATTACACTGGGGGGAAACCCAATCCAGACAACCCTAACCAGTTTACAGTCAGTACTCTGCTCTCAAAATCCTAAGGGTAAAAGGTTCACAAAAACATGCTATCTGTCAGCTATTCCCTTTGGCTAGAGATTGGCAGCATTATCTTAACAGCCGGCCCTATCACTCCTACTTTGTGGTATGCCTGATACAGTGCCTTGTGGGAAAGCGTTTGGTAGAAATGGCCATGAAATACTTCATTAAGTGGGTCAGGCTAGTCCAGTTCTTCCTTTGATGTAAATGTGGGGAGAACTGGGCTCAAAGGATGTCCTTTTTAGAAATAAAGCATATACATAGTGTTGTGGTGGGTCTGATCCTGCATTCCTTGAAGTCAGTGGGACTTTTGGTGGTGCCCTAAGGAATGCAGTATCAGTCCTGAAATGTCTTTCCAATGTGTCCAAAGCCAACAGTGCTATACCTGAAGCTATGACTGTAATACAACAGCAAATATGCCACAATTTTTAAAAAATAATGTGTTGCTCGTAAAAATGTAGAGCGAGAGAGAGAGAAAGATACTTACAGCCATTTTATTCCAGAGCAAATCCCAGTCTGTAAAATGAAAGACAGAAATATTGCAAGACTCAGCTTCATTTTTCCACAGCCACCCGCTTTCAGAAGGAAATCAACTCTTTAAAGGGGAATCTTCCCGAATTTCTGAACAATGTATTTCCTTCAGTTTAGATGTGGTTCCTTCTTGGAGCACAGCAACCTGAAATCAGGGAGAAAGCACAAAGATATGGTTAAGACCCAAGTGTTGTGAGTCCTGGTGACAGAGAAATTTATCATCCGAATTGCAAAGGAGTGGTTTATGAATCACGAAAAAGTTCAGATTCCCCTCCCCTCTCTTCTTGATAGAACCTTTACAGTCAACAGACAGACGAAACGTATGGCTTGAATTATGACTTGAGTTATAGTCTGATTGTATGTTTCTGGTTAACCCGGCATATGGCAAGACTTCATTCCCTGTTTCAATTCCTCCCCCCACCCCAGGTTCTGTAAATCTGCTTGGGGAGGGAAGAAATACAAATCTCAGGTCCCTGTTTTAGCTAATCCTCTTCGTTTTCAGATAGATAGATAGATAGATAGATATAAAATATTTCTGAAAAAAGACACATTAAACACACATGTGTTGACTAATGGAGGTGCCCTTGCTCTGCAAATGTTTCAGTCTGTCTGATCTGTTACAAACAACTGTGTTTTGTTCCTTCCCTCCTGCTTTCATTCTCACCTCATTAACTTTGCTTCTCGCTTCTTCCAAATACACAAACACCTGGAGCGCAAGGAAGAGCCCTCCACTCTGGCCCCCCCAGGAAACATTACAATCAAAATTGTCTCAAAGAAGCATCCAGCAGCAAACAAAAGATCTCAAGGATCCTCTTTTCTCTGCTTTTTATTAAACAAACAAGGCACATGACTCCTAAATTCTTACAAGAGTCCTCCTTATCTCAGACAGGGGCTACCCCTGCTCCTGTAATAACAATGGTAATAATAAACCAATCGGGATTCTCTCCCATCATTCATTCTAGACAACAGTGAGGGGTTTCTTCTCTTCTTAACCTCCAGCGGTTTTTCTCAAGTGTACCAAATTAAGGCCAGATTCTGCTCCTCTTAAAGTCAACGGGCAAGGTTTCAAAAGTGGCTAGTAAATTTGGGTGCCCAAATTAGGCCCATTACACACATTAGAGGGAGATCTGATTTTCAGTCATGACTGAGCACCCGTCCACTTTCACATCAGGCCTCTTGAAGGTGTCTCAAGTCAGCCACCCCAAAACTGGTATCACCAGTCACTTCGGAAAACCTTGGCCAATTGCATTCAGTGGGAGGAAGGATCATGCCCTTCATTTTGATAATTCGATGCCTGCCTGACCCCCAGGTCTGGGGCTGCCCGAAGCTCTCTTCCAAACTGCGCTCTTTGAAGAGTCAACTCTTTAATCCCCTAGGAGAGGGCTCCACTTTGGAAACCCGTTTAAACGTGCGAGTTCCCCCCGGGGTGCTTGCTGTGATTCCCAGCGCACTTTGGGTTTTCCTTCAGGGTGTCCCCATTGGTGTAAGAATCCCGTCCCTGAAACACTGTTATCGGGAAAGTGACATTGTACGCGGATCTTCAGCGCTAGGAGTGAAAATCCTGGCTCTGCTGAAATCCGTGGCAAAACTCCCATGTGCGCCGACAGGATCAGGATTTCACCCGCCTCGATTTTTATTCCCTTTTTTTTATATTGACCCGTCACTGGAAGTTGCAAGCAGCTGTCGCGCCGCTTCTGCAGGGAGGCAAGCTCCCCGCTCTCCTGCGTCTGCACAGCGAGACATTTATTTCGGGGTCTTTTATCTTTTTTAAAAACACTTGAAACCTTCACCCTTGAATCCTGACCATGCACTGGGCGGCCTGGGGGCTATTTCAGACCCCTTATCTGTCTCTCCTGAAGCTGCTTCACGGCACAGACTTCAGTGTGAAATTTCTTACAGCTTCCCTGAACGGGAGGGCGCTGTCTAATCCGGCTCTGCAGAATTCCTCCAGCCCAGACCGGACACTGTCCGGACCAGCACTCCGGTTCATCCTTTTTCATTGCCATCGGATTTCCAGCCTCTAGCTCCGGAACAGGTTAACTTTTACAACTTCAGGAAAATTGGCAAGGGGGAAACCAGTGATTCAAGTCATCAGGCGTGTTGTTTACAAGGGCGAAGAACCCTAGATCAAGCCAGCAGCAGGGGGCTTGTTGTCTCAACCTGACCTGTTTTCTCCTCAAAGTCCTGGTTTGCTTTGCCCGTGTACGTTTCAGACGAGCCGCCTTTTGCAGCCGCTTCCTCGGCGGCGTACGTCCGCGCTGAAGAAACTTCGCTCCACAGAAAACTGATAAGGCTTATAACTAACACCCCCAAAACCTCAGATACCTGTTCCTCTCCCTAAAACTCACAGCACAGCTCGCCCGCCAAGAGGCAAAGAAAAACATCCCGGGGCACGCTTAAGTGTTATAGTATTCTTGTCCCCATTCATGCCCACCAGGGACAGGGCTTCAAACTCCAGGGCGTGTGATCGTGTGTGGCGTACGCTCTAGCATAGATCCTCTACCATACATTACAGCCGAGCCGATGGCGTGTGTCCACACACGCGGCAAAGGTAAACACGCTGGAAAGCTAGAAACCAGACAGGCAAAGGGGGAGATATGTAGCATAATGATGGCATGGCTCTGTATTTTCCATCCCCATTGACAATCCCTTAGCAATTCGGAACCCATGAACAACCCCCCGCCTCGCACCCAGGCCAACACCCGCCCGCCGGTCCCTGGTTAATGGCCCCTGAACACGGAACCACCCGGACTCCGGCTCGGCATCTCGTCTTTCTCTTCGCAGGCTCCGCTGTGCCATCAGGGGCTCGGCAACCACCACCCCCGGCGGGACGCCGGCTCGACCACCCTGGGGCCGTTTGGCCCAGCTCGGGAGCTTTGGGGCGTGCTCGGGTTTTTCTCCGCCACCTCCGCGGGCGCTTTCGCTTCCTTCGTGGGAACATTTCTCAAGTCCTCGCCTTCGGAGGGAGCAAAACCCGCGCCCCCGTGGCCGCAGTGAAAAAATCCCCGCACCCGGCTCAACGCGGGAGGGATGAGGCGTGACTCAATCGATACCCGCCCGCAAGAAGCCCCGGCCTTACCTTTCCCGGGAAAGCTGCCCCTTCGCCTCGACCCCTTCGACAGCCCTTCTCCCAGCAACCACAAAGTTTTGCGGCAACCGCAGCGGCGGGCAAAATACTGTAGATCCAGATCCCAACACTGGAGGTCAGCCGGAGGTAAACGCTGTTAAACTCCGCTAAGGGTGGGCAGAGAAGGGGAGGGGAAGGGACGAGCGACACAAGCGGAAGGCTGCGTGAAGATGCAGCGGGTAGTGTGAGTTTGTGTGAGTTTGTGTGTGTTGTGTGTGTGTGTGTGTGTGTGTGTGTGTGTGTCTCGAGCGCATGGCCAGCTGCGGGTCTGCCTCTGCCCCTCTCTGCCTTAAGAACCTGCTTATATGGGGTCCCAGTGGCTTTGATCTGCGGAGTGATGTCAGCCTGCATTAGCATAACAAAGCACGCCGGATTTACTGCTTAAAACAGGACAAATGACTGTTTGATCTATTCAGAAAAAAGAACGTGTATTTTCCAGTTTTCTCAGCAATCATCCCCCCCCCCCCAACCGCACACTCCTTCTCCCGCCTGGTAAATAAAAGATTAAGACCAGACGGCAGGTAGTTTCAGGATCTAGAGAAGAGAGAAGGGACTTTAAAGTTCTTTGTAAGGGAGTTCTGTAGGGCTGATTCCACTTCATCTTATCATCAAGGCAAATCAGACCAACCTAGAAATGTTTACTTTATAAAAGCATCCTAGTCATCTGCCTGGAAAGCCCTACAAAACAAGGACTAAGTACAACATTATGGTAAAGACAGGAGTGTTGGGGAACTGGCAAAACAAGAATTACTAGGATAAGCTTCAGCTAAAGTCAGGAGGAAAAAAAGATGAGCCTCTCCATGATGACTGGGAATTAGGTTCTGACTAGTTTGACTATTGTGTTTCCAAAGTCTCTCTTTTCTGCACATGTATTGCACCAAACAGTAGCCCTGCTCAATCCAATTTGTCACAGTCATAGTACAATTGCTACTCCAGTAATGCAATAATTCCTAATAATCAACGGTTCATTATACATTTGAAGTTCAATAAAAAAAAAACAAAAAAAACCCACAACACATTTTAGTTCAAATTGTCATAGTTTCCCTGAGATTAAAGGGTCGATTTCCCAAGGGAAAGATTGGGTGTATGAAGCTGGTAACTTCCTTTATTTTTATTTTTATCTACTTGCTCTAATTAAGTGTATATCTATTTGTTTTTCATATAACATAGGTGATGCACAAAACGATAAAGCCCACACAATATTTTAGCAGTATATACTTTTCAGTAGTCTTTTTTGCATTCAGAATTACCTGTCTCTACAAATACAAGTTTTAAGAACTACAAAGAAATAATACTAAGATTGCTATTACATTATTATAATGAATAGTTAATGATTAGCAACAATAACTAGTTAATATTTTAACCGGAAACCTTAAATGTTACCTTTACAAAGGGTGACCAGTGTTTACTTGTCTTTACGGCTGACTTCCCAACTAAAATCAAACCACATTTTTCATTTGGTTGTTCTGAACAGGTCTGTTAACTGGATTTCCTGTTCTGATAAAGCTAAGAAGTTGCAATTTGACAGCTGGAATAAAAAGCATATTATGTGCCCTGCTTTACTGAATCATACTGTCAACCTTCAGCTTTCATGATGCTCCGTTTATTTGATCTTTCTTTAATCCACGGCAAGTTTAATTAATTTTTTTTACATCAGGTTCTTTCTCTTTCAAGACAGTCTCAGCAGATGAGGGTTTAAGATTACTGCATACTTCAAACGGGCCTCAAGTGCCTACAGAACAAGACAAATCTGGATTTAGGAACCCCCATGTCTGCCCCGAATTCAGAACAAATTGGTACAAAAAGGCTCTCAGCTGCTATAATATCCATGCCCTTTTGCTCAGTCTAATTGTGTGTTTCAGGTGAATGGGGAGGGGTAGGAATACTTAACAACACATTGCATGGGGTCTTAGGACCAAAAGTTTGAGTTTGAAAGTAGGATGAGAAGAGTGTCCTAGAGTTATTCCTTGAGAAAAAGGCATTTGTATGTGATGATGCTTTTACCAGGCTTTATTTTAGGAAGAAATACAGCATTTAAACACATATTATCACTATCGATTTTTGCTACCTGACTTAAAAAGCATCTGGAATCTGTGCTCCAAAGCCACCCTATTTATTTATTTATTCTGCCACTAGCTTTACAAGGTGTCTGTTTTTGTTTGTTTAAATGTTTTGGGGGAGCGGGTGGTAGTTGCAGGTGGGCACTACGACAGATGGAGACTTCTGTTTTTCTAACTTCCTGGCATTCTGCTGTCCTCTAAAAATGTGCAGATCTTCAGATCTGATTGTCAACAGGTTGGTGTTCTGGATTCTCCACAGGGCAAATGTCCAGGGTCACTACTGCGGAATAGTTCCCAGAATAAGACTGCCATTCTCTGATTTAGCTTACCCCATAGAATAATAATTCTGGAATAAGAGTGTCCACATGGGGAGCTATTCTGGAGTAGGTTTTGCACTTTAAATTTACACCCCACCTTATTCTGGAACAACTTTCCTGTGTACACCAGCTCTCTAGACCCTGGATTCAACAAAGCATTTAAGCATGTATTTAAATGGACTTCAGTGAGACTGCTTTTCTGAATCAGGGCCATTATTACCAAACTATCAAAGTTCTTTGAGTCCTGCTTTTCTCAGGTAGATTTGGACCTGGTTTGGGCCATATGGTTTGCAATGGAATAATATGGATTCTCTTCAGATGTGTAGCCAATAGAGAGCTACCTGGATATGTTTGGATTTTTAATGTCTTCAAGCTGTACAGAGCTATCATGAAGATCTCTGACATTTCCTAGAAGACTTATGGCCACAAACAGATGTGGAAGATACCTTGATTCAGTATTTTCCATAGGTTTTTCAGAAAAGGATCCATGAGAGAATTGATCCAAGGGAGTCGGACACCCCACTCCTATAGAAACTCAATGGGATTTGCACACCTAACCCCAGTATGTTGTACATCTGGAGAGTATTTATTTTTTGCTCTAAAAATTATTAGCACACAGGTAAGAAGGACAAATAGTCTCCTTAGTGCATATCCTGGTAAATATACATGTTATACCCAAAGGGTTGGTTGGGAAGTGGGGAACATTGTCATTTTTCTGTGAATCTTCAGATTCATTTTTATACATATTTTTTTTAAAAAAAAGGACACACAAAAGTTGCTGGATTGGAAACTGAATTTGTCTGGTCATCCATTAGCGCAGGTGCAACAGCAATGCAAGCTGCTGTCCACATTACTCTGTCCACCTGCCTCAAACCTATTATGGAGAGGGGCATTTAGTTCTTGACCCCTTGTGCAGACTGTCAGCAAAGATCCTAACAATTTTGCAGAGAGTTGTTTTTCATGTGAATCCCTGACTATTAGAACTGAACTGAGATCACCAAACAGCCATTAGACAGTGACAACTTTTAGGTTTCAGAGTAACAGCCGTGTTAGTCTGTATTCGCAAAAAGAAAAGGAGTACTTGTGGCACCTTAGAGACTAACCAATTTATTTGAGCATAAGCTGTAGCTCACGAAAGCTTATGCTCAAATAAATTGGTTAGTCTCTAAAGTGCCACAAGTACTCCTTTTCTTTTTGACAACTTTTAGTTACTACTGACCTGGGCTGAATTAGAACCAGCAATGCAGATGTGGATGGCTCTATAGTTCATCACATACAGACACACAGACACACACACACACACGTCACCTAAAAACAAACACTCAATGGGAGTACTCGCATGGATAAAGTTAAACATGTGCATAAGAATTTGCAGAATTCTGACCTATGAGTGTGAACTCTTCCAGAGCAGAGACCATGTCCTTTTTTTAAAATCTCCAAAGCACTGTGCCAAATCCTGGCACTGTGTAAATGTTTATTAATATGACATAGTTATGTATACTGTGATGGTGTGGTATAATGGTTTTATCAGCATGCATGCAAGATGCTGTTTGCTACAAGTGAGGTCATTGCACATGAGGGCCAGTAAAACATTTCTTCTGCACTATTGTGTATTCTGCATATGGCATTAAAAAAAGCAATTTTGAAAATATTTTAGAGTTTTGACGTTTTAATGGAGGTATTTTTTCATATCCCTCCACCTGCAAAGCCAGGTGACATAGTTACAATGGGGGTAATTCTCATGTGCACCAGGGCCCCTTTATTCTGCTGGAGTGGTGTATAGAGGCCTTAGTGTAAATGAGAATTAGATCCATCAGTCCAATTGCACAGTCCCCTGAAGGAGAAAAAAAAGAATGATTATTAAATGTTAAAATCTTTTACAAAAGTACTTAAAATAGGTACACATACAAACTTCATGACTTCAGAGTACAATGCCTTACGCCATTCCAGGGTGAGAAACAAGTGTTCTATCATATGTCCAGTTAGGGAGTATGCCCTTTAGCACAACGTGTAAGCACCTATTTCTATCCCTAAGGGCTCATGAGATATCAGACTTTTAAAACTGTCACTGGGACCAGACTGAATATTACCCATTCTGGCTTGTGCCAGTGTAACTTGTGGGGAGAAATTCCACATTTGTGGGGGAAGGAGGAGACATTTTTGTGACGGGATTATTAGTATTTTGTAATGGTGGCTATTGTGAAGTTGCTCAGTGGGCTAGCATGTTAGAATAAGTCCTAGCAGAGACTGATTTGTAAGCCGAGTGAAGGGGAGATGGACAAAGGTGTGTGATAAATGCAACTTATGAAATAGATATAACCCCACATAATAATATTATTACATGTGGGAGGTTGATTTTACTCTTATTATTTCTACAGTGCCTTGTGTGTACATGACAGGTACCATACAAATACAGAAAAGGATTCCTGTTCCCAAGAATTAGAACTGGTCAAAAGCAAGACCATTTTCCAGAAACTTTTCCACGAAAACACCGTTACTTTGTTTTTTTTCTTACCTGAAATTTTGAATTTCAAATTTTGCCAACCACCTTTAGAGTTGGTTGGAAAAACAGATAACTTTTTTAAAAAAATTATTCTTCCCCCATCACAAAATCTGAACATTTCAACCAGCTGTATTATTGTAATCTATAATTACAAACACTGGGGAGGAGAAGAAAAGGAAGATGATTGTGACTCTGATGCCTTAGATGGTGACGATCACATGAGAGAGGTTTAGAGGGTGTTTCTGGTTGTTCTTGCAGAGGGCATGTTAATGTTTTATTATGTGTGAGTAACACTTAAGAAAGAGCATCCCTGGAAGATGTGTGTTTTGAGGAGGAGGAAAGGGTGGAGGCAAGGCAGACTAGGCCAGGAAGGGGATTCTGGATGTAAGAGGTTACATGGAAACCGCAGCAGTAAGAGTGGAAGAAGGATGAGAAGTGAGTGGGTTAGATACACAGCTTAGCCA